ATATATACATTCTATACGATACATACGATATATACATTCTATACGATATCGACGATTTGTCGAAGGGAACTCCTAGGCCTACCACGTGCCTCGCGCCACGTGCGCTATTCCCAACCTTTCCGACTCGCTCGTCGAGTCGATGCCCTTTTCCTGAGCGAACTGGATGCCGAGTACCGAACTCGTTGCCACGCCACATACGTGTTGCCGAGCCATATACTATATGCCTCGATGAAGGTCTGCTCACTGGAAGCCAAACCACGAGCTCGAGGGCTACGTCCCAATCTACCTGTTGCTTGCTCATTTCTGACCAGTCTATATGTGCTCTTTTGAGCCGGTCTCCATTCCCATGAGACAATGACGCGTTCACACACTTATGACGCGATTCTTGCAGAAATGAGCGAGCCCGAAATCCACCTTTACGAGGAGGACGTGGTGAGTCTCCTCGACGTCGACGACGACGAAGACGAGGGCTCCACGCCTGAGACCCGAGACCGCCCAACCGAGGCCAATGAGCTCAACCAACCATCGATATTCGATGATCTGCTCCAAGATTCGTCCGCGCCGGATATCCATCCCAGCGTCCTTGCGGGACTCCAGCGAATCTTCGAGGCGAAAGACAACAAAAAGCTCGCCGATGATCTCAACCTGGCATATCCGGAACCGCAGGGTTTGCAATTTATGCACCCCGAGCCGCTCCGAGACGTGGAGGCGCATCTCAAGGCAAGCAAAGCCTTTCTCGCGCTAAAAGCTGACTCTCTCCTCGTCAAGCTCGCAGAGACTCACTCGTTGTTGGCCAGACCTTTGACCGATGTCATGTCCTATGTGGCCACAGCCCCCTCGTCGCTGGACCACAAATTCATCGCCAAACGTCTCTCTGATGCGGCGAAAACCCTGGTCATTGCGGTCAAGGCAACGGAGGCTGCGCGTGTCGAGCTCGCCTGTCAGGCTTTCCGCGTCCCGACGTCTACGGCAAAGACCGAACGAGGTTCGTCACTCCTCGGACAGTCGTTCGCAAAAAATGTCGAGAGGTTGCGCAAAGACAAAAAAGTCTTGCTAGGGGAGGAATCATCGAACAGCCAGCGATACCGGCCCTACAACAAACCCAACAACAACAACGACCGCAACGGTCCCAGGAAGCCATGGAAGCCTTCCAATCGGAACGACTGGCCCCGCGCGGGAACATCCGGTCAGCGTCACGGCTCGTCCAGAAATTCCGGCCCTTCGACTGCGGCTGACAGCAGCCAACCACCTCCGCCAGGTACCCCTTTCCGGTCCTTACTAAGTTGTACATCTCAATGGGACTCTTTAACGTCCGATGAGTGGATCTTGAGCACGGCGCGCGGATACCGAATTTCTTTCCTTACCACACCCTGTCAATTGTCTCGGCCACACCCGATTCATTTCTCGCACGAAGAATTCGACATAGTCGATAAGCTGGTCTCCGAATTGCTGGCGAAAGGGGCTGTTGTCCCTATCTCACCTGACCGCGCGAAATTCGTTTGCAACCTCTTTCTCGTCGCGAAGAAGGGCACCTCGAAATACCGACCGGTGATCAACCTCAAGCCGCTGAACCAGTACATCCCAGATAACAAATTTAAGATGGAGGGCTGGGCGGAGATCAAGGAGGCCGTCGAGCTCAACTGCTATTTCGCGCGTATCGATTTGAAAGACGCGTTCCTTTCCATTCCAATGCACGCATCGAGTCAGCCCTACCTCGCTTTTGGTTGGAGTCAACAGACTTACTGTTGGACACGCTTGCCTTTCGGCCTCAAAACGAGCCCTCGAGTCTTCACGAAAATGCTCAAACCCGTCGCCTCCAAGCTGCGCCAACAAGGGGTTGTAGTCATCGTATACCTTGATGACTTTCTCCTCATGGCTGACTCCCCCGCGCGCCTCGCGGACCACGTCACTACAACGACGGATCTCCTTACCTCGTTAGGCTACACAGTCAACTTTGAGAAGTCCGCCCTCAGCCCTTCTCAGCGCGTCACTTACCTCGGTTACGAGATCGATTCAACCACCATGCAGCTCTCGGTACCCCCGGAGAAACGCGAGCAGATCAAACGTGACATTGAAACTCTGCTTAAAACTCCCAGAGTCAGTCTTCGTACGCTGTATCGTATCCTCGGGAAGCTAAACGCGCTCACGACCATTGTCCGCTCGATTCGATACCATTGCTCGTCTCTCGCACACATCGTCTCCGCAACCACCCGACGCACTAAAGACCTCGAATCCTTGGTCCTACTCTCTCCTGAGCTCCGCTCAGATCTGCTCTGGTGGACAACGCATCTGGACACAGTCGCGTCCGGACCGATTCGGCCACCGTTGGTTGCGTTGGAAGTCACGACGGATAGCTCTCTTCACGGCTGGGGCGCATGGTGCGCTCATGGCGCCGCCGGTGGCGAGTGGAACGAGCGCGACCATCTTCTACACATAAGCGCTTTAGAGCTCAAAGCAATCTTTCTTGCGGTGCAGCGGTTGGCCAGAAACTACTCCAATACTTCTATCGCAATCCGCACGGACAATACGAATGCAATGCATTGTATCAACAACTTTGGATCTATACGGTCAACCACCCTAAACGCCTTATCACGGCAACTCTGGTCCTGGGCTTTCGAACGAAATGTTTACCTCAGAGCTACCTACCTCCCGGGAGTTCAGAACGAGCTCGCGGATTTGTTATCCAGGACGGTTCTCGACAATCATAGCTATTCGCTACGGCAAGCTTCGTTCGACATCTTGAACTCGGCACACGGGCCGTTCGATATCGATCTGTTTGCTGATTTTTCCAACTATAAGGTGTCAACTTACATCAGCTGGGTCAAGGACCCGTTCGCCTTCAGCATCGATGCTTTCTTGTCCCGATGGGACTCTTGGAGCAACCTCTATGCTTTTCCACCCTTCAAATTGATTGATCGTACACTCACCCATCTGGACTTGTTCCCGATTTGCGAGCTTACGCTAATATGCCCTCTTTGGTCAACACAGCCCTTCTTCCCACGGCTGCTTCAACGCTGCATCGATGTACCATTGCTTCTCCCAACGGGCGAGGATCTCCTTCTAGATCGGACGGGGTCCCCCCACGCGCTCGTAGTAGCACAGAAGCTTCGGCTGGTCGCATGGCGCCTAGCGCCCCTATCCTCTCGCGAGAAGCGAGTAACTTTCTGGAAAACGCTATCCGGCCCAGTACCCGCACAGCATACAACTCCTGCTGGCGCCATTGGGTTCGTTGGTGCGAGAAGCGAAATTCCCCTATTCTTGAAGCCTCTGTGAATCAGGTGTGCAACTTCCTAGCGGAACTAGCACACGAAGGCTATTCCTACTCCGCCACAAACTCATATCGTTCTTGCTTATCGTACCACCTCCGTCCCGTCGACGCTTTCAAAATGGGCAGTCACCCCACGATATGCCGACTCATGAGAGGGATTTTCAACCTGAAACCTCCATCGGGCCTCGGCCACCAGTGTGGGACGTCGAAGCTCTTCTCGCGCATATGGACGCTTGGGGCCCTTCTGGCTCGCTCACGCTTCTGCAAGCGACGAATCGAACACTTCTTCTTGTGTTGCTCGTTTCTGCCGCGCGAGTGGGTGAGATCGCGGACCTCAGATATCCTCCCATCTCCCGCCAACCACATCAATGGGAGTTTGAATATAGTCGCGGCCTTACCAAAACCAGCAGGCACGGTCAGCACTCATCCTCCTTACTCGTCAAAGCCTACCCTCCCAACCCCCTCCGCTGCCCCCTTCTGGCACTCGATGCCTACACCGCGATGACGGAAGCACACCGTCAGCAGCCAAGCAAGCTATTCCTCACCACCCGAAAACCATACAAATCTGCCTCCAAAGACTCCCTCGCACGGTGGGTTAAAACCACGCTTGCAGCGGCAGGGATCGATTCCTCGGTGCACACAGCACACTCGACTCGCTCAGCATCTGCGACCGCCGCTCACTCACGCGGCCTTCAGCTGCAGGACGTTCTCCGCGCCGGGCAATGGACCAGGGCCTCTACGTTTTATAACCACTATTACCGCCCCACTCCCACGCCTCTATCCTCCGCCGTGCTCAATCCGCAACGTTAAAATCGCTTACTGTCCCTCGGTGAACTACGGAACTCGACGAATTGGAATTCGTCAGTCTAGTCGACTCACGTAGTGGGAAGACTTGACTGTAATTCCAAGAGGAGAGTGAAGGAGTTCACCGAGGGCTCCCACCGCAATCATCCCTCCCTGGCATGAATATTCACGCGGTTTCTGTTCGGTGTCTCTCTAGGCACTTCTCGGAACTAGACCCGATCGTTCCCTCACGGCTCCGGACGAAGACAGTCTCGGCCGCTCCGCTTCCCTCGAGCCTGCGCACTCCCCAACCGACTCCGGTCCGAACGTCGACAGGAAGTCCTCTCGGGACACTTACGGTCCGGTCCCCGAAAGCCACGCGGCCACTAGATCGATTTGTCCACCTATACGTACATCATAGCTCCGGCTTCTGCCGCGCGATCTCCGTGATATATTTCCTCGTCAGTCGAGATTTTTTCATCGTTCAGTGTCGACACGGGTTTGCCATGTGCCCTGCACACAAGGTACTAGTGAACTCCGGAACGGAAGTGAAAACGATGTCGGCAAATGATTTCATTCTCGAACTACATGCTGTATACAACACATTTCATTTGATCTCAAACTCGAGGATACATGCGTATGCCGATGAACTCTAGTCTCCCACTATGCTTAGCCGGAAAGTCTTCAGCTAAGACTGCTCAAATAAACGCAATGATATCCCGATCAACTCCCCACCTTCCCCTTCCATACAATTTAGAAACTTCTAATCGCGGGCAGCGACTTCTCTTCACAGCTACTCGCTACGCGCCACCCAACAAGTGAGGGTTTTCTTCCTCCAGACGACCCTTCTCGCTTGTTTTTCCTTTAAAGACCGTCTGCTCTGCGTGTGGATCACAATCGCTTACTGTCCCTCGGTGAACTCCTTCACTCTCCTCTTGGAATTACAGTCAAGTCTTCCCACTACGTGAGTCGACTAGACTGACGAATCAATATTCAGAGAAACGACGGATATGTCTATAGAAGAGGTGCTCAAACGATTCAAAATGTACGAAGACAATGAGAAGGCCATTATGGACATCGAGAGGAACAACGCGAAACAAAACCCAGTAGCAGGAGATGAAGTCATGCTTGTCAGAAAGAGCTCGAGACAGCACGGAAGAAATGCATATCAGCCAATAGCAGAGATCGGGGATGGTCGTCAGCGGCGAGACAGCACTAATAACTCCCAACGAAACTATCCCCGGCGCGAGTGTAGATACTGCGGGAGCAGTCATCAGCCAAGGAGGTGTCCCGCATACGGAAAAAAATGCTCCAGATGCGGGCTTTTCAATCATTTCGAGCGAGTTTGCATACGAAATGAGAAAACGCGGCAACTCACGGCAAACTATGGAAACGAGGAGGAAAGCGATACAGAACAGTTTGAGGTTACATTCACCACAACGCTCGAAGAAAAGAATAAACCGAAGAAAAAATTCTCCGTCAACCTTTCAATCGGTGAAGAAAAGGAGCTAAGAGCTCAAGTTGATACCGGCTCCACCTGCAACTGCATAAGCTTTCGGACGTTCAGGAAAATTGAGAGAATGGGAGCAGCTTCTGCTCTAAGCAACGAGAAGAAGGTGGAAGTGCGAATGTAGGATAACACATCCACGACAGCAGTCGGGATGACTCAAATCGAGTGCCATTACGAGAATCGACCGTTCCGTCTACCGTTTGTCGTGTTCCGGGGTGAGCTCGAAACCCTCATCTCGGGATACTGGGCGGAGCGAATGAGCATCGTTCGTTTCCATGATAAAGTGGAACGAATCAACCGAGTGGAGGAAAATGCAAACAAAAAGATGCAAAACGCGTATGATAAACTACTGACAGAATTCGCGGGCATTTTCACCGGTCTGGGAGAGTTCGATCAGATGGTTACGCTGGAATTGAAACCCGAAGTGCCTCCGAGACAGCAAGCACCTAGGAAAACGCCGATCAACACCAGAGAAGCGCTGATTAAAAAGTTACTTCAACTAGAAAAGGCCGGCATAATCGAAAGAGTGAATACGCCTACGCCTTGGATATCGAACCTAGTGGCAGTACCAAAGTCGGACGGATCTATCAGAATAACATTAGACCCGACACATCTGAATCAGGCCATCAAGCGGCCCAGGTTCCCGATGCCGACGCTAGAAGACCACCTGCCCTTGTTGGCGAAGGCCCGAGTGTTTAGCACAGTGGATGCAAAAGACGGGTTTTACCAAATGAGACTAGATCCGAAATGCAGCCATCTAACCACGTTTTGGAGTCCTATCGGGCGCTTCAAATACAACAGGATGCCCAACGGTCTCTGCTCGGCCAGCGAAGAATACCAACGGAGACAAATGCAAGCCTACGAAGGGTTACGTGGAGTCCTCGTCGTGGCCGATGATGCAATAATCTACGGAACAGGGGACACGGATGAAGAAGCTGTAAGGGACCATGATACGAACCTGAGAGCACTTTTCGAAAGGGTCAAGGAAAAAGGTCTGAAGCTCAACAGAAGAAAGCTACAAATCGCTAAAAAATCAGTGAAGTACCTCGGCCATATCCTATCAGACGCTGGAGTCAAGCCAGATCCAGACAAAATCAGTGCAATAAAACAGATGGATGCACCGAAAGATGGCAAAGAAACAGCAAGATTCCTCGGGATGGCAAATTACCTCTTGCCGTTCATACCGCGTTTTGCGGACATCACAACGCCTCTACGAGACGTAATGAAGCAGGGACAGGAATTCGTATGGTCAGAATCTCAACAGAGAGCGTTCGAAGAGATAAAAACGCTCCTAACGCAAGCGCCTACACTGGCATACTTCGATAACTCCAAAGACGTCGTCATAATGACAGACGCCTCAGATATCGGTGTGGGCGCGGTCATTACGCAGGACAACCGGCCCGTAGCATACCACTCACACGCATTGTCACCGACTGAGAGGAACTACGCCACCATCGAAAAGGAATGCCTTGCGATCGTATCTGCGTGCTCCAAGTTTGACCACCTCATATACGCAAAACGGGGAGTGATCGTGTTGTCGGATCACAAACCGTTGGAGACAATCTTCCGCAAGCCATTGGAAAACTGTCCAAGAAGACTGCAACGGATGCGCCTCACTCTCCAGAGGTACGATATCGTGGTGAAATACATCACAGGAGCAAGAAACGTCGTAGCCGATGCGTTGAGCCGCGCTCCGTCCCAGGCACAAGCTTCGACAGCGGAGAGCAATCTGAGGCTCGAGCTTGAGATCACAAAAAATCGGCAGAGCTGCCGCGTATCGGACCCGTTACTGGAGAAAATACGCGCACACATGAAAGACGACGCGGCAAGCTCTCAATTGATGGAAAACCTGCGAAACAATAACCGGCCGGAGCAAGAAATCACGAAAATCTTCCGTCCATTTGTGAGCGAGCTAATCGCTGAGGACGGGCTCGTGTTCCACGGGCACGCTTGTTATATTCCACCCGCTCTGCGTGCAGAAATGCTGCGTCGCTGTCATCGTTCACATCTTGCCCGGGAGGCAATGCTCCGGCGGGCTCGAACAGCAATATTCTGGCCGGGACTTTCGAACGACATCAGAAATTTGGCGGAAAATTGCGTGGCGTGCCAAGAGTACAGCATTGAGCAGAGTCCGGAGCCCCTCATATCGGGCGAAATACCAAGAGCCCCTTTCGAAATAGTCCACCAGGATTTGCTGGACTACGGAAATCAACTGTACTTAGTCACTGTTGACGGATACAGCGATATGTTCGACCTGACACATCTAGGAAAAAACAGCTCAGCGACGAGAATAATCGAAATCACCAAACGTCTGTTTGCTATGTTCGGGAGACCGGTGCAGCTGAGAACAGACTGCGACCCGCGCTATATGTCAGCGGAATTCAAGAATTTCTGCAGAGAATGGGAAATTCGTCACTCAACAAGCAGTCCATACCACCACGCGGCGAATGGCAAAGCTGAATCGGCGGTAAAGGCCGCCAAGAGGTTGCTACGGGAGACGAGCGCTAATAAGGAAGACCTGCAAATGGCACTGCTAGAATGGCGAAACACGCCTCAGAAAGACGGCCTCACCCCAGCAGAGAAATTCCTCTGCAGACGAGCTCGTACCATGCTCCCCTATCGAACAGGAGACCTGAGGCAACGTGTGCACAGAAACATCACGGCTCTGATTGCCGAGCGGCGTACAGCTCAGAAAGAGCAGCACGACAAGCA